AACCGTTTTCAGATTTTCAGTACTTGAAGTCATTTCAGGAGTTTCGGGTGGGGAGACCTGAAACCTCTGAAATGACCTGAAGTGGCTGAAGCTTCTGAAAGTGGTTTCAGGTCCCCCCATCCAAATGTTTGGGTATGGGGACCTGAAACCGCTTTCAGAATCTTGAGCCACTTCATGTTATTTCAGGAGTTTCAGGCGGGGAGACCTGAAACCTTTAAAATGTCCTGAAGTAGTTCTGAAACCATTTTTAAATTTTCAGCCACTTTAAGTCATTTCAGGAGTTTGGAGTGGGGAGACCTGAAACCTCTGAAATGATATGAAGTGGCTTGAAGCTTCTGAAAACGGTTTCAGGTCCCCCCGTCCAAATGGTTGGTTGAGGGGACCTGCAACTAGTTTCAGATTTTCATCCACTTCATATCATTTCAGGAGTTTCAGATAGAGAGACTTGAAACCTCTGAAATGATCTGAAGTGGCCGAAGCTTCTGAAAGTGGTTTCAGGTCCCCCCATCGAAATGGTTGGATGGGCCATCTGAAACCGCTTTCAAATTTTCTGCCACTTCAGATCATTTCAGAGGCTTCATGTGGGGAAACATGAAACCTCTGAAATGATATGAAGTGGCTGAAACTTCTGAAAGCGGTTTCAGTTCCCATCGTCCAAATGTTTAGATGGGGGGACTTGAAACTGCTTTCAGAAGCTTCAACCACTTCGTATCACTTCAGAAGTTTTAGATGGAGAGACCTGAAACCTCTGAAATGATTTGAAGTGGCCGAAGCTTCTGAAAGAGGTTTCATGTCCCCTTATCCAAATGGTTGGATGGGGACACCTGAAACCGTTTTCACATTTTCAACCACTTCAGATCATTTCAGGAGTTTCAGGTGGGGAGACTTGAAACCTTGAAATGATATGAAGTGGGTGAGGCTTCTGAAAGCAGTTTCAGGTCCCCCCGTCCAAATGTTGGGATGGGGGGATCTGAAACCGCTTTCAGAAGCTTCAACCACTTCATATTATTTCAGGAGTTTCAGATAGAGAGACCTGAAACCTCTGAAATGATCAGGTGGCCGAAGCTTCTGAAAGTGGTTTCAGGTCCCATTATCCAAATGCTTGGATGGGGGCATATGAAACCGCTTTCAAATTTTCAGCGACTTCATATCATTTTAGGAGTTTCGGGTGGGGAGACCTGAAACCTCTGAAATGATTTGAAGTGGCTGAAGCTTCTGAAAGAGGTTTCAGGTCCCCCAATCCAAATGCTTGGATGGGGGACCTGAAACTTCTTTCAGATTTTCAGCCACTTCAGATCATTTCAGGAGTTTCAGATGGAGAAACCTCAAACCTTTGAAATGATATGAAGTGACTAAGGCTTTTGAAAGCGGTTTCAGGTTGCCACGTCCAAAGTCTTGGATGGGTATAGTATGGGGAGCTGAAAAAGGACCTGGAAATATTACGAGTCGTTAACCTTCTCTCGATGTGACCTCCCTGTCTGGGGGTCGAAGACACGCCGGGGCGGTGCTCTATCCCTGTCTCTGTCCCTCCAATAGGAATCTCGTGAACTCTCTCTCCAGTCGTCCCCGTGCCTATCCGCCCTGGTTTCCCTCCGTTCATACTCGGGGGAACGTCATGTCGTTGCTTCTCATCGACCGCTCGAGGTTCCAGTCTTCGGAGCCTTCTGCGGCTCTGTCACGACCGGTTCACCCATTACATCGGGCTCTTCGTCATTGGTTTGGTCGGCCCATCTCAGCGGTGCCCCTCTGCCTAATTCGTTCCTTCAGATCCCTCAATGCTCGGTCGGGCGATGTCCTGTACTCCTCTCCTGTTTCGGCCGTGGTCGGTTGTGGCTCCATAGTGTCTGGTTCCATAGGCTACCAGAAGCTGTAGTTGGGCTCGCCGGGCGTTACAGCCCGGACCTATGACAGTTGCAGCAGCCCGGACCTGTGGCAGAACAGCCCGGACCTGTGACGGAACTCGCAACCCGGACCTGTTTGCTTGTCACGATTTGTGCTCGTCTCTAGTCCTAGCTCTCGACTGCTCTGATTATCACCACCAGTACTCCGTTCCCGTCGCGGACCTCGTGCTCTCCTTCTATCCCAAGAATCCCGGTGTCTATGTAAACTTCTCCCTCGGGCTCCACCAATTAGGCCGCGCCTCTCCTGATTTGCACTACACTCGTGACAGGATCTTTACTCCTGCTGCAGATCACAGTCCCAAGCCTAACCAATGTCTCCCGACTGGCACCCCTTAAGAGTCCTCGAGCGTCTATCTCCGTCCTTCTTGCTAGATCATCTAATCCGTCCTGAATCGGGTAGCCCGCAAAAGGAGGAAACTCTCCTCCTACTGCCATCTAACCATCTCCTCCTCTTACTCCCATACAGCTATAAGGTCATCTGTGTAGTATTTGAGGGAAGTCAGTGCTACAGCTACTCGTAATCTCATCGCCGACAACTCCAATATGCCATAGAACATCTCAAAATCTTCTTCATCTTCACTATCCTCTATAGCCTCTAAAGTCGTTATTGATTCCCTCCAGTATCGGTCGTGAGCAGCTAACACCCTCAGTATCGCTCCGTCTATTATAACTCTCCCTAGCTCCCCAGCTCTCCTGGCTTCGCTTATCTTCAGCCTCTCAGCCTCTCTGGTCGTCTCGTACCACGCCCTTATCCGAGACCGCCCTTCGAAAGGTGTCACTCGAAGTACGTATTTTATCCTTCGTCCTCCTTCCACTCCGATCCAAAGTCCTGTTCCCCTAGCCTCACGCAATGCACGACGAACATACTCTGCCTCCTCAACTATACACAACCTAGTATGAAGCTGGAGCTTTGCGATCACTAACACCAATGGTCCGTCCAGTCTCCCTACCACATGCAACGAGAACCTGTCTGTCGTGCGTAGGGCAGTCCCGCTCATGTCCTGTTGCTATCTCCCTTCGTTACCTTGTCCTCCGTTGCTGCGTCTTCTGCAAACTTTTCCCTCGCTCCTTCGCACGACAGGTTCCTAGTTCTTACCGTCTCGAGAAAGTCTAATCTCCACTCCTGGATAGTCTCTCTATCCTCCCTGAACAAACTCTCTAACTCTTTCGTCGCGAGCTCAACCCTACGCAGCTTGCTTTCGTCCTGGCTCGACCCGATCTCCCTTATCATGTTCCCTAACTCCTTTACCTGGTTCAAGAGTGGTTTTTTAATGCGTTTTCTCACTCTTCCGACCGCCTCACTCTTCTCTTCCATACTCAGTCCACATCTCCTTCCAGCTCATCCTCACACCCTTGCTCTAGCCTCCGCTACCATCTCATCGTGGTAGTGCTCCGCGCGCATATAACCATGAGACCATATCATCACATCATAGGCAATCGAGGTCTGGAAGGTCACCTGCGCCAGTACATCAGCTCTATGCTCGTGGATCAAATCCCTGACTCGTAGTCGACACTCCCTCACCGTCAAGTCCTCATCTATGTACGCTCGGAGAAGTACCGTTACAGTGTACCATGTGCTTACCAGTTGCTTATCTACGCGCATCACAGTTGTCGTCCTTCCCGACATTCTCTAAGCTGCGGCCTCGAAGAGAAACCTCGCATCCTCTAGCCCCACGTAATCAATCTCTGCTCGTCTCCTGGAGTACTTAATCAGATCGACTGGCCTCAGACAGTCCACCGAGGAAGTAACGTCTATGATGTCGTCAAGCGTCTCTCTGCTGGGTGGCCCCCACCTCACACAAATGGCGTAGTACGCTTCCCTGAAACGGGGAGCTAAGCCCTGCCAAAGCGCGTAAAGTGTGTGGTCCACTGCTATACTCAGACGATCTACGCTCCCATAGGTCTGCCCTATCACGAACGCAGGAAGTCCAAATTGTCAAACCTCTCCCAGGTAGAGGGTCGGATGCGGAGGTCCGTATACCAGGCGACTCCAATACGACCTTCCTCCAAAGAGTCTCGCCAGTTGCTGATTAACGATCACTCGGGCCAACGACTCGTTTCTCCACCAAGCCCTGCTAGCCCCTGCGAGTATCAGCCCTATGTCTAAATCATGAGCTTTGTCCGTTATCAGATGTCCAACCCCTTCTAGGTCATGAGTCCTTTCGGGTCGTCTATCTTTTAGTATCACCGTCCAAAGGAAAAGTCCCTCTGCCAGCCACGTCCCAAGGTAACAAATTGGGACACAACCAGTCTCCTCTAACCCCACAGGAAGAGGAATATCATATCCAACAGCCGTCTCTCTGGGTCTTACAAGTTTCCTCACGCTATAGGATTCGGACTCTCGTGAGAGGACATAAGTTAGTCAAGCCGCCGAGTCACTCCTCATCTCCACTTTGCCACTCGATCTGTGTCACCCTACTCCCTTCGACGCTCCCTATCTCTCGATGTTGCTAACTCCTCAGACAACTCTCCCACTCAGGTCCAGTATGGTCGAGTAGGTGTTGTGCGCTCTCCCGTCTGCTCTATGGAAGTAGATTGTAAACTCGACGTATCTCTGGCTTCTCCGTATCTCCAGGGCATGCTCCGTCATGAGTCTGATCTGTCGCTCAACATTGTCCAACTCCTCTCCTTCCCAGCCGCCCGTCCTATCTCGTCGTAGGGAAAGAGTCACCCTCAGTATATCCCTGTCCGCCATCCCTTCCTGCTCTTACTGCCACTCTCGTCTCGCCTAAAGATATCTACTTACCGTCTCTCCACTACTCCCTTCTCTAAGCCACACCCGGATATGCCCTGCCTCTAGCCGTGTCGCGTGTCTGCCATATCCTCGTCTTCGTCCTCATCTACCCTCTGACCCCATGGGATATCCTCCTGTCCCTCGGCCTGAAGGAGATGTCCCCAGCCGTCCTCCTGCGGTCTGTCTATACCAACGCCAATCTCGCCCTACCCTACATCAGGCACGTCTCTCCACAATCTTTCGCCCTCTCCCCAAGGCTCTATGTCGCTATGCTGTACCCAATCTCTATCTTCGGCGTCCCAGCCGAGCTCCTCCCTATCTGGGTATATAGTCTGATAATGCTCCTCGAACTCCCAGATAGAAATGAGGGGAGTAGGCCTGTCGCTGGGAGTCTCGCTAAAGAGCCGCCCGACTCCCTCCAGACTATCTACAGGCCTCTGGACCTCCCTCTCTAAGGCCACCCAGAACTCTGAGGGCTGGCCCGGAAAAAAAAAAATGGTGGTCTGCTGTAGGCACTAGGGCACGTAAAAACTCAATGAGTTGTACCCCTCTCTCTCCAGTAAGAGGTCCGCACACGAACCGTGCGTAGGCAATCCAGTCCTGGTCCCTCTGCCCTCGGGCTAGTCCGTCGAGCTCTAGAGCCGCGAAATATCTCTCCACGACGCTCCCCAAGCCCCAAAGCTGCTCCACTACAAAGACCGGGAACCAGGCGCGCAGTCGGACTGTCGGAAAGGCAAACCTTCCTATCCGAAACGTAGTCCTCGTCTCCTCGATAGGCCCGTACAGATCCTCAATCTCCTCTCGTGCACTCTCTATCTTGCCTGTCAGGATCTCTCTCGCCTCTCTCTCATACTGCCAGAAACTATGCACCAAGCCCTGGATATAGACGACGTCGCTCACCTCACGTGAGTAATAAACATGCCCTACGGCCTCTATGGACGTCGTGCCGGGCGCCCGCCACCTCTGCGGATCAGACTCGTAGGTCTGAACGGTATATGACCATAGTTGCGCGTCTGGCCCCAGTCGAGTCAACCCCCAATGGTCAGTCAACCCTGACTCAGAGCCACATCTGCCCGGTAGATCAAGCTCCACCAAGTCGGGAGTTATGATCTCGGGCGGTCTAGGCCATCTGAAATCACCAAAGGGTAGGTTGACTCTCTCGATCTCCTCTACCATCTGCCCACAGGATCTCCTATCTCACTCTCCCACTCTACTGCCGAATCTCACGGCTAGCCTAGCTCGAACTCGCCAAGCCACACACTCCGCCTAGGCCCTAGTCGGTACCCCTATGCGCGGGAACTGAGCATCCACCGTGTCGACCTCCTCCTCCTCGTCAACCTCACTCTCTGGGTCGACCCAGTCTGGCTCCCAGATGTCCTCGTCGTCCTCTCACTCCCAACCCTCGTCGTCAAACTCGTCCTCGAAGCGGTATGGCGCCTGTCCTATAGCCTGGTAGTACTCCGCCAACTGATAGCCGTATATCAGAGGTCGCCCAGCGTCCTCACTCCACCAGCTACCCCAGTCGTCTGAGAAGAGCCACCCGATACAGGTCACGTACTCGGGGCCTGCTCGGAGCTCACGGTCCAGCCAATCCCAAACGCACGGAGACTGGGGCCACTCGTCGTCTATTGAACGGATCAACTCTATAAGCTGAACCCTCTCGTCACCCCAACGAGGCCCACCAGTCGCAAGGGAATAATAGAGGTAGTCGAGGTCGTCAGACCCTCGCGCGAGGACCTTGAGATCCTGATAGGCTAGGTATGCCTCGACCACTCCGCCAATACCTCCAAAGATGCTCTCTACAACGAGCGATGGGACTACCGCCCGCAGAATCGAAACGCTGTACGGAAAAAAACGGCCTCGCGCTACCACCAGCTCGCCCGTGATATCAAGAGGAGGGCGTCCGTGAAATAGGGTCCACGGGTCGCTCGAGTCCTCCGCTCGGAAGGCGGCTACCTCGTCCCTCAAGTAGTGTAACGCCCTGCTAACCGCGCCACTAGTCCCTGTCGTCGCGAGGCTTAGCACGGCCTCCTTGACCGCGCCCGGTCCTAAGTACAGGTAGGCTCTAACTAGGCCCACCCCTTGTCCAGGCCGGTGCTCTCTGTGCGTCCAAAGCCACACTTCCGCAGACAAGACTATGAACCTCCACGCAAACTGGCCGTCAGCATACCGGACGCTACGCGCAGGAATTGTGAGCTCCACCAGATCCCCTTCTATGAGTTTAGGGGGCTCCACGTCCCAGACGCTGCTAGCGTCATAGACCTCTACCTGCGCTTGCGGCCACATCCAACAGATGGCTAGAGAGAGAGTAGTAAGAGGGATGGGTAGAGGAGGTGAAAAATAGCCAAAAAAAACTGTCATTTCTATGAAAAGTTTGGCAGCGCTTCGCCTCCCTTCGTTGGAAGCCCCGATCTTACGCTGCCAATTTATCTCCTATCTATCCCAAGAGTTCCCTAAGGTGTCAACAACGAAATCCCGGCCCTAAACAAGGCAAACGGGCCCTATAGTCGAATTCCCTCAAATACAAGGCGTGTTCCCTGTTCGAGGGAACGCTGCCCGCGACTGTTCCGGTCACCCCTCAGGAGTACAAATGTCACCCCCTATCTAAGTACCACAATTAGAAGGCCTTCACCTTCTTTCAGCTATTTCTCTAAGCCATTTCAATATTTTTAAGGAATTTTAATAAATTTAGATTAATAAAAATTACTTTAAATCTTCATAAACCTACCGGTCCTCCACAACTGCCTACGGGCATACGAGGTTTCCCCTGGAGAGTAGCGCGACAAGTATGTTTCTCTTTCCGCCACAAACTAACTATTTAATTTGAATTTACATTATATAAACACCAAGTAAATAAATTTTAATTAGGGAAAATTCCGTTCACTCGTCCCAACCCTTAAGAGGGGGTAAGGGAACAACTGTTTACTTTTTCTACTCCAATTCCCTTCCCCTTTTCCTACCAAGGGAATTTTTCTGTATTTAACTGTATTTAATTTACAAAAATTACCTTTAAGTAAGATACACCCCCTTTTCTTATTTTACATATACTTACATTCCTTGTATATGTCTTTAGGCAAAATTGCTCGACCTCAAGGGTCCCCAACAGATTTTTAAAAAATTTTGGCGGCACTGCGCCTCCCCCCGTGGGGATGGGGTGTGGCCGAAGGCCTCAAAATAGCCGCCAAAGGAGTATAGCAAAAGGTAAATAATATTAAAAGAAAAATTTATTTTTTTCAACCAATTTTTGTATATTTTATTTTCTAACTAATTCGAAATATTATACAAAATCTCAAGAAAATTTTGGCAGTATTTCCCCTCCCCCCGTTGGGATGGGGTTCAG